AAGGCAATTACAATTAAATTGTAACTGTTTTCTAAATTTTATTCTGATCTCGTTAGTGATACAATTCATCTAACACTTTTCTTCCTGGACTTCGCCAAAATGCAATACAGTGAAACAAAATAAAATAAAGGAAACGAACGTTTAAAATTCAATAAATTAGACTCAAGATAAACAAAACCAAATGAGATAAACTTACAATCAAGCGTAAGAGGTCAGAGGCCATTGTATTTGTACGATAACTGAAACAAATTGAAAAGAGAAAATTTGACTGAAGTGTAATGCCTTTTAAAGAATTTAACATGTTTAACGGATCACCAAATTTTAACAGGAAACCGACAGGCACGCAGGAGGGTGACTACCTTGGGCAGTGAAGATGCACCCTCGGTAGGCCTGTGTGAAGCGTGGATATACGCCGTGTTGAAGATTCATCTGCAACAAGCTGACTACCCGTACACAGACAAAAGGCATACCCGTGCGGTTACGTCAATATTGACTGCCGCAACGTTAACGATACTTACTTACCATAAACAAAGTTTTTTCCTGTCAACCTCCTTGTCTAGTCGACTATTTTCAAACTTCAGTCGTTCAGATATAGATACAACTGAAGTTAACAGGTTTAAATGAAAGGAATGATAAATTCATTACTTTTTCAGTCTAAAAACTCCAAAACTAACTATGATGAAACTATTAAGTATCAATTAGGTCGCAACCCTGTCGTCTGAAGCCACCACGTAGTTCTGAAGCCAGACTGGCGGCTTGCGGACTCGGCTGGAGCTTGCCTCTGGGTGCTGGTGAGAAAATATTAAATTCGTTTTGTCTTTGACAGTAAGTTCAATTGTGCCACAAGATTTAGGTTAACAGCATATAAAAAAAAGACAAGTCGAGGATAGAGTCTACATAAAGTTCACTACACAACTAACCAAGTAAATACGTGGCGTTGCTATTTTCTGCAATATTTCACTAATTTTTCATTGTTAACAGTTCGTAAAATGAGCTCAATTCTGCACAGACATAAGATCATTTAAAACTCGGTGTTACCGGTGTGTGTACCTACCGCTGACAGCATAGTTCGGGAAGCTGCTGGCAATTCCTCGTTCTCCTTCTCTTCTCGCTTGCGTTTTTTCCCCTTCTTTTGAGCAGGCGGCCTCTCTGATTCAACTTGATTCTCCTGCTTCTCTCTCTTTTCCCCCAACTCCGCTTTTCCTGTCTCATTCTTCTTCTTCTTCGCCAATCTCTCCTCCCTCTTTTTCTTTTTCTCCACTTGCTCTTGTAGAACTTCCGCCGATGTGAAAACACGCGCCGTTTTTATGGCCTTGGAAACCTTTGTCTTCTTCTCTTGTACCTGTGGCGGAACTAGCAGGTCCGACAGCTCGGTTGGCACCATCCTGCCAACCAACACGTTTGTGCGAGGTGGTCCGCATGTCTTGCATCCTGGGGCCCTGCAGGGCTGGCATGATGGTACATGGGTGCCATTGTTGACTTCGGAATCTTCTTGAGACGTTGAAGGGACATCGATGATTGACTGCCCTACATTCACCCACCTTTTGCTCACAGCCAAGTAAGATTATGTTTTCATCTAGTGCTGTTTGGATTGTCTTTACTGATAGGTGAGCCTCGCATTGGTCAAGGAGGAGAAGTACTGGCCTATCCGGAGGGAGGGTGCGGACGTAGTGGTTGCAGAACCATTTTTCGAACAGGTCTTTGTCCATGAACCCCGACTCCGACACTGCGTACAGGGTGTTATCCGGACCACTTTGTGTGTACGCTCCACTGGGAAAGCTCTTCTTGTAAATGAGCATGGGTGCCAATGTTTTACCTTCTGCAGTCACAGCAATGTGGAATGTTACACGGTTCTTTTGTGCCAGAGCTTTTGCATCGGGACCCCCTTAACCCCCTTCGGCACAAGAACTCTCCCCCGATTGACTTTCATCGATATCCCGGTTTCATCACAATTGTGAATAAGATTCGGCTTGTTTTGTAGACGGTTCTCTGCTACGATCTTAGTGTACAACTTGAAGAAATCATCTACCGTCTCCTGGCTGGACATTTTTGCCCTCTCCCTCGACAGGGGGTCTTGCGCCCGGTGGGCTATCTGCGGGTGGCGCTTTTTAAACCCCCTCCACCACTTTCTCCCAGCAACTAGTTTTCCACTTGCCTCGCAGATACGAAACCTGGGGGTTTTGCCGGTTGTTTTGCATTTTCTTTGATGGATCTCACCCGCAAGTGCCTTCAGAATGGGGACAGATATGGGGTGTCCCCATTCCGCCATTTTTCCTATGTACTTTTCTAGGCAACTTTCCTCGTCATTCATCAAAACGGTCTGACCACCGGTGGTCAAGGGGTGGAGACCCCTGAGCTGATCTGTTAAGGTTTTTCTTGGAACTGAAAACAGTTTTGATGCCTTGTTGGCATTTGAGCCACGTTTTACTGCATCGATAGCCTGCTGCATATGCGACACTTCGTATTGCTTGTATGCTTTCGCTGGCGTAGTGCCTAGGCCATTGACACAGTCCTGAAGTGTGGCCATACTGAGTCGACTGCCGGAATTCCGCTCTACACAAGGGCTAAATGACAGTCAAGAAAGAAGAAGAAATTATTTATCACTTTGTTTCTAATTACGTATACAGACTTTTAATGTTGATCAAGTCGATTCGACAATTGATAGTGCTTGTTATATTTCTTGAATAAATCCCTTTGTTGTTTTGTGTGTGTCCATATGTGTGTGTCTCAAATAAACTGTTGAGTCTGACGCTTTCGAAAGAATATATTTTCGGACAACACAGAGTCAATAGTTCTTATAATATATTTTACACAAGGTGAAGGAACTATATCTATAGTAATAATGATTAATTCTTAATCAAAATAACATATACTGGCGGAGCCGCACATTGAGCTTGAAACTGTTCTGTTATTTATAGAATTTCTGGAAATAACTTAGAATTTCTGGAAATAACTTAGTATTCATATGAAAACATACAGCTGTGCTTTATACATTTATGTTTTGATCATGAGTTCCTTGTATCTAAAGTAACCGTCTTTATACGTTCAACCTGGTCAACTAGGGTCAACCTGGTTAGCCTGGGAAAATTGTTTTTTTCCAGGCAGGTCCGTTGCAAAAACTGGAAAAAAACCTATATTTTTCGTATCCAAAATTTACGTTTAACTAGTTTCTACCCAAATTATAGAATTATCAGACAATAACCAAAATTCTATCGGAAGCCGGCTGGAAATTCTATCGGAAGCCTCTGTTGACTGATGTAAAGAGATTTCCCAGTGTACTTTCCTTGGCGGAGTTATATCCCTTTCGGTCTGAGGGTGTCCGCCGGATCGAAAAATCGTAAAAAAAAAACTCCTGTCCGAGACCTTCCGACTTTAAGATGCTCTGCAATATCAACATAATATAAAACAACGTAACCCAACATAATTCTAACGTGTTGTTTTTCTCGCATTTGAATAGATTTGCTTCCATAATGCTTAAAATTATAATTCTTGAGATCTTACAATCAATCAATCACTCACTCACACCACCGAGCTCGCTCAAAACATTTCATATTATTTATTACTTCTACGACTACAAACAATGGGGACAACTGACTCCATTCGCTAGGCTGGAAATAGAATCGGCAAATATAGTGAGATAGGTTTGGTCACGTCACCAGGCTTCTCTATTTACTGTTTTTACAAATCAGTTCTACGCGTTTCTAGATTTTGTAATGTACGCCTTGTGTGATTCTTTACAATACAATTAACATTTCCATATGATTTCACGTACTCTAAAAAGGCCACTGCAAATCGACGTACTAGTACATGTAAGTGGCGAGGGTCGAACGTATGTTTGGTTTCGCCCCCCTCCCCCCTGAATTCAACGATATGAATATGCCGAAAATGCCTACAAATTATCGTCCTACTGCGGTTCTTCTTCCACAACTATGGCCTTAAACTATAACCCTCAACATTAGAATATTTTTTTGTCCGTTTCTAAGTCTTACCTGCTTCCTATGATGGTTTTTCTCTTCACGAAAACCGTAACTCTTTGTCCTTCTGTCGTCTCGCGAAGTCAGAGGTAAATGCCCTTTGGGTCAAAGGTGAAGTTGTCGGCCTGATTACCCATATAGTACATTTGTCGACGGGTGTCACGTTACGTTTTAGTTTCCTCATAATGTCAGCGTTTTACACACTTTTACAAGTAGACCACCAAAACGACGTAACATGCGCCCGATTTTTTTCTTGTCTAGTATAATATTATGTGAAAGGAAGATAGAAAATCACTGTTAGCTTGTTTGGTCGGTCTCACCGGTGTGTTTTGCTTGATGTTTGTCCAAAGTGGATTTCCCTGCTGCAGAATAGTCACACTGGTCACACTTGTAGGGTTTTTCTCCTGTATGGGTTCTTCTATGTTTGGATAAGTCAGACTTTTGAGTTTTCCTGTACCCACACTCCTCACACTTGTAGGGTTTCGCACTGTATTCCGTAAAATTGCACTGCATACTCTGGCACCTCTGTGTATTCATCCATCTGTTACGTGCCGGAAGTTTAGATGTATTACCATAAGAAGCCACCAGGGGGCCCAAAATCTAATCATTCCGAGGACATATCAAGACCTACCCACCTACTAAAAATCAAGTCAATCCATTTAAAATTAGGCCTCTCAAGATTTCTACAGACGCACACAAAGAGCCGGGGATACACAGACACACACGCGGACGCCTCTGAAAACACAACCTGCTTGGCGAAGGTAATAAAGATTAGGGTCCCTCAAAATGTATTTCACTACGACATGAGATCTTTTCATTCTAAATGTCATTTTTATATTTACCGAAGGAAAAAAATATTGTTTTTGCTACGTTTTCTCTTCTTCCGTTCCAAACACCGACCTCTGACCTGGCCAATGACCTGCTTTGTTGACATCTCTCACCATGGTAACTGGCCAATAAACTGCCAAGT